AACCGCTGAAGTGTTGACCATTTCTGGCTGGCAACTTTCAGCGTCATTAAGCCGCTGCGCCACCGCGTCCCCTAGCTAAGTCCTTAGATGCTTCATAAAAGCATCAAATGTCCATCGAATGGCTGTAACAGCCTATGCTTTTATTCACTGTATCACTTTTTAAGATGCCATGTGTCCTTGTGGCTTTAGCTGATAGGTCTAAGTTGCTGTATCTCTTGCTGTTCCATTCTTTAAAATCTCATTCTGTCCTTGCAGCGCCCTTGGAAGGTAGGCTAGCCTGGAAGGAAAAGCATAACCTTCATGGCTAATTAGCTTTGGACTGGGTCTTCAGCCCTGCATATAACACACACCTACAACCTATTATTTTTCTGTGTTTCTGGCTCCTTTATTGCTGTGTAAAAGCATGTCTGCCTCTCTGGGTGATAAGAATGGCACATTTGTGCATCTTTCGTGTAGGATCTTTGACTGGCTGGTGTCCGTGATCAATGGAAGCATCTGTGCCCCAACGTCCGCGTGGAGCAACTTCATAGGTATTGTTTGGGACCATCTCGGATGCGTGCTCCTGACAGAACTAGTTAGAATCCACATTAAATAATATTCTGCACATTAAACCTTCTGCAGTCGGAATCTTCCAGTTTCTTTCTGGGTGCAATTCAGGGTGCCAGTTATTACTATTAAACCCCTAAATGGCATGGGACCAGGCCACTCACAGGACCATCCCTCCCTGAGGGTATCTGCCCATCTCACCAGGTCAGATAGGATGGGTGTCTCCAGATCCCTTCCCTTAAATGTTGTCATCTAGCCTTTTCTGTAGCTGTCCCTGCCCTGTGGAGCACCCTTCCTCAAGAGATACATCAGGCCCCCACCCCCCTTGCTTTTTGGAAGTCCTCGAAGACCTGGCTGTTCCCACAAACATTGATTGGGGTAGGATGAGGCGGGAGCCCAGCAAGATGATGTGTGACATAAGGGATAGTGCTGCCCTGGATGTCATGTTTTTTTTAATACAGTTTTAATAATTTTTTATTTTATTTTATGCTTGGGGAGTTTCTGTTGTTTTTACTGTTCCGTACGCCTCCCAGGGTTGTTGTTATGTAGGCAGCTATATAAGTGCCTTAAAGTCAATCAATCAATCTAGATTTGGTGTTCTTAAACATTGTCTTTCACTAGCCCAAGGACACCCAGTGAGTTTCTGGCTGAGTGGACTTTAAATCCAGATCTCTCCTAATTCAGTTCTGTGATCACTATGCCATAGTGGGATAGAACAGACTGACTCTGGTAGGGAGGTGGACTCATCTTTATGGCCATCTGCCAGGAATGCTATAGCAGTGGATTCCTGCACTGGGTAGGGGGTTGAATTAGATTATCTCTGAGGGACCTTCCAGCAGTCTGTGATTCTTTGATCAGGAATGGTAGGAGCTGTTATGGAATAGGAAGTGGAGTGGAGTAGAATGGACTGGACTGGACTGCTTCAGATTGGCCAAAAATAAGCACCTCTACAGTCTGTAAGTCTTCTTCAAGTATGAAGAAGCTTACTTTCTTCACAACCTATTTGCAGCCACTCTTTTCTTTATTTGCTGCTGATTTGTTCCTTTCCCCCCCTTTCTGATTCCTTCATTAGCTTTGTAGATCAGGCCTTTGAACCTGATGTGGAATATACAGGAAATTTATGGAACGGGAAAGGCTTTTATTTATTTAATCTATTTGTATGCCACTAATCAATAAAGGCTCCCTGTGGCTTACAGCAATCCAATAAAACATGCATGGTAAAACGTTAAAACGTCCATGGTAAGCATAATTAAAATCAAAGTTGTAAACACTATATAATAATAATGGAAAAATAAATAATACAACCAAACTACAAGACCAAAATGGAACCCCACAGTTAAATTGAAATTTTTTAAAAATGGAACAATTAATTAGTCACCGGATGTTCTGTGGAATAATTGTGTCTTTAACAGTTCTGTAACATTAAGCAGGATGGGACAGGTCATAATTCCAAGGGGAGGCTGTGGCCAGTGGTGATTGAGAAACAGCACTTCTTGGTCTCCTTTCCTCTGACCTCACAAAACTGAGATGCAACCAGAAGCATCACCTGGGAAGAACAGCAGGGCAGAAATGCTGCTTTCATAGCGCTCCCAGGGTGATGGTATATCCTTTTCTTTCCCCACTTCCAGGTCTGCTAGATGTTTACGGTTTTGAATCCTTTCCAGAAAACCACCTGGAACAGCTGTGCATCAACTATGCTAATGAGAAACTGCAGCAGCATTTTGTCAGTCATTTTCTGAAGGCGCAGCAGGTAACACTTTGCCAATGAGTTTTCTCAGGTGGCTCTTCTGCAGCAATCCGTCTTTGGGCAAATTGAAATCATCTTCCTCTCCTCCGTTATTGCCGTATGATTTTGGTTCCTCCAGGAAGAGTATGCTGAAGAAGGTCTTGAATGGTCCTTTGTAAACTACCAGGATAATCAAACCTGTCTGGACGCCATTGAGGGCAATCCTGTTAGCATCTTCTCCTTGCTCAATGAGGTCAGTCCAAAACTTCCTTTTCTGCTGCTCAACTTGCCTCCTATCTACAGGATTTTGGAAACTGGGGTCATCCTTGACAAATAGCACAATTAAAGCCTGTGGGACATTCTTCAAACAAGTGTCCATGAATTGAGACCATCTTTCCAGATGTGTTGGGATGACAGTGCCCTGGCCAACCCATCTGGAGTCGTCAAGTTGGAGATGGCAGATTGAAGCACTGAACTAAATCTTGAGAGGCTGAAGTTCACTATAGCATTAAGGAGTGAATTGGTTTTTAAGATTTTTGAAATTATCCCGTATGTATTAACTCTCAGAGTGATGACCACAAGAATACAAATAAAATCCATTTAAACATAATCAGAGCTATCTGTTAAAAACACCAAACAGTCCAAAGCAGGAAAGGCTAAACTGGCATTGCAAGAAAATATCAGTGTAGCATAAGACATAAGAAAAAAGGTATCTAAAAGGCTAAAAAAGAGGATCTGAATGTAAAGGCCTCTGCCCAACATTGGAAGGGGAACAAAAGGAGGTAGAAAACAAACTTCTCCACATTACTGGAAACACTTGCTGTAATATACTTCCAGTTATATTTAATTTTAGATTGAAAGTGATTGTGAACAGCGAACCTGCCCCAGAGATTAATGGTTGGTGAGGATAAAATAGAGAGATGGAAGAGATTGGTGTGTGCTGCTGAAAAACAGGATGGATATGATGTTATTTTACAAAGGCCATTTTGTATTTGCAATATAAATTAGCTTTCTCCAACTTTCTGCAATACGCAATACGTCAGATACAATGGTCTGCAGCTCCTATAATTCCCTGTCAGCATGGTCCAAAGCTGGCTGGGGATTGTTGGAATGAACCTCTAATCCAGCACTGAGTTTTGCCATCAAGGGGAATGGATGCCAGGGCCGTCTGCGTCTGGAGCCTGAAAGATTGTGGGACTGTCTTTTCTATCCAGCCCAAGGAAGCACATTCATAGCTAATGTTTTTGCAGCTGGACAGTTTGTTTAGATGTCAGAGCTACTGAGAGGGCTGTTCTGTATAATGGAGGCAGGAGACTTTTCAAACCATATCTTGGACAGAAAGAACGGAAAGAGATGTTGTCCTTGGCTTGGAGGTTTCCCCACAACATTGGATTGCCCCCTCTTTGGACTGTTCCAAAATATTCATCTCTAAATTTGGTTGGCTTTGGATTTCCTCCTCCTCCTCATCTTGCAGTCAACTTTCCTCCATCGTGTCTCTCTTTTCTTTGGCAGGCATGTCGCCTTAACTGGTCCTCCAATGCCGGGCAGTTCCAAAGTCGGATTGAGACTGCGCTGTCCAAGAGCTCCTGTATAAGCCGAGACAAGTTTAGGAAGGAGCCAAACTTCATTGTATCCCATTATGCCGGCAATGTCTGCTATCGAGTTGAGAGTATGGTAGAAAAGAATAAGGTATGTTTGGTTATCCCTTGGGTTTGTTAATTTAAATCAGAGATAGGGAAACCACAGACCCCTCAGTCTTTTTTTTTTTTGCTCAAATGATGGCCAAAATCTGTGGCCAATTACCAAACACCATTGATGCAATTTTTCACGGCTGTTTACTTGTTAAATAAAAGAAAGCTTTTGATAGGTTTACTGCAGTGTTGTCCAAACTTGGCCACTTTAAGATGATTGGACTTCAACTCCCAGAATTCCCCAGCCAGCCAACACTGGTTTACTGGATGGGCAATAAAAAAAAGCATTCAGGTGTTTAATGAAGCAAAACTTAGTTCAAGTCTCCCTTTCTCTGATTCCTAATTATCTTCTGATATAAAAAAAAAGATTGTCAGCCTTTTAAATGTGAGTTGTAAAAACAGGAAGGGTGCTGCCTCAGAGAAGATCCCTGCAGATGCTGCTTAAATCTTTGGTAACAAGGAACCACACAAACTTAAATCATCATCTACTGACCTTATAGGCTCCAAAAGTGCAGAAGATAACATTTATTTATATATCTGAAAGTTTTTTCACACCATCCTATCTAGGGGACTGGAAAAAATTCTCCCACAATTCCTCCAATCATAATATAACATCATCATCCCCAGAAAATCTTAAAACTGCACAAATGAATGGTGGTTTATCTCTGTCTGTTGGTTTATGTTTCCTTTCTGATGCTTTTGCAGCAATGGCTGTTGCTTATAAAGCTAAAAAAGCATTAGGCACACAGAAACATTTCTGTATTTCATGGTTTCTGCCCAGCCTATACAATCAAGCAAGGTGGACTTGCTCCAGGTCCCATCCATTAAGCAGTCCCACTCGATGGGACCTAGGAAGTGGGCCTGCTCTATCGTGGCACCTGTTCTTTGGATCATCAGCCCCCCAAGATACATTGGGCCCCCACCCTGGCTGTGTTTCAAAGAGCCTTGAAAACTTCTTTCCCCAGGCCTTGACTGAGAGAGCGGTAGGCCCTGTATGTTTGTTTTTCAGGGTGTCTTTCTTCTAGGGCTTGAGGTTTTTATATTGTATTGTGTGCTGCCCATACTGATTGTAGAGTTCGGTGACCTTATAAATTTCCAAATAAATAAACCAGTGGCTGGGGAAAAACACATTTAAGGAAAAGAACACTTTGAGCAAGCTCATAGGAGTTTGTTGATGACTCAGCATGATTGTTAGCCATACAATGATAAAGGGAGAAGGAAGGAAAAATTAAGGGG